CTATGTGGGCCAGTTTGATTTTGATTGGATCAATGGTCTGATTAAAATTGGTCCATGAGTTAATGTCCAATTGTGTGATGTTAAAAAAAAAAAGTTTGTGTGAGTGTCCTGGTCCATTTTAACTCCTGCATAAGACAAAACAGATCTTCAAAAATTAGGGGAAAAATGTGTTTTCTTGTCACATCTGCCTTGGTTATCATCTTTGTTGCATTCAGTGTTACCTGACATACCAGATGTGACCAAACATGAGACAAATCACCACTGTCTGACCTTTTCGAAAGAAGGGAGCAGGTGTGAAGCTTCTATTGTCATTACAGTATTTGCTACAGCACAAAAGGGTAAAGGTCCAACTACAATGTCACAAGCAAGCCACTCTCTTGTAGCCCCAAGTATAAAATAATGGATTTAAGAGTTCTTGCTGTGCTCTAAAAGGTTAGCATTGGGTTGATTTTACATCAATTTTTTTTTAGTTCAGGCTTTTTATTTCATTAAATTGAATATTGCGTGTGATTGTATAATTCAGGCACAATCTAACTGAAGTGCACTCTGAAGTGTAACCTGAAAATTACGTGTCAACACAAGCTGGACTCTGCACCGAGCTAAAATGAAGCCATCAGTGTGGACACTAAGCTTTACTGCTGTCAGCTTTAAAGGAAGCGGAGATGGTTTTGTTGCCAAGGTGGCAGATAAAACTCATCCTCAGTAAATGTGGCATCGCTGATCTTCACTTCCTCTCCCCTGCTGCTTTAATTATTACAACCCAGAGGATTGTTAATGTGGTAGAAGTGGAAAAGTCACACTCAGCAGGAAGATTGAGCAACAAAACTTGGACATTGAAGTCTTGACATCAGTCTGGATCAGATATATGTGCTTCTCTGTCTTCATTTGTGACTATTTTATGATCATGCTCTGTGACTCATTATCTAAGATCATGTTTACGTGACGCCATTTTTTAGTGAAACCGTAAAATTTCTGCTGTGTTTAGGCCATTTTTGTACGTAACAGCTGTCGTCATCTCAGGTACAGAAACTTTTTTTAATCCAGGTCTCAGAGTGGAAGTTTTTGTAAATGCCCGCCAACGTGTCAAGAAAAAAAAAAAAAAACAAACGCACCTTACCAAAATCACAGATGTGCACTACAGACAATGGAAGTCAATAGGTTTTTTGCACAAGCGCGAGTAAATCAACAACGTCCCTTGTGACTGATACCGCTTCAAGGTAGTTATTATAAATGTCGGTATATTTACTCTGACAAGACTCAGTCTACATTGTCCTGACTCTTTTCAGATTGATAATTTAAAATCACTTGCAGCTAATTAACCACACTGTCAGTCCAAACATACCGGTACATGTTCTTGCCATTTTGGAAATAACAGATTTCATGCTTGACTTGAGACTAAAGAGTCTGTACATGTGCATGCTGTTGAATTGTGGGATGCAAAATAAAGTCCGCACAGTGAGCGAAACCACATGAAACATTTGGCAATTGTTTTATGTGGGATGTCCTTCCTGACGCAACCTGGGCTCAAACCCATAACCTCAGAGTTCCAAGACCTGGCACGGACCACCGAGCTACCGGTCTAAAACAAATAACACGTCAAAACAAATCATGTGTTCTCTCAGCTGTCCTCATTAAAAAATAACCCCATTTCACACAAGTTAAAACCTGTGTCAACCTAATACAGATACTTTTTTCCTCGGATTCTAATCAATAGAGGAATTACAAGATTTAGACACTCAGCACTGTGCAGCTGTGATCATCCAGTAATTGTATAAACATGGCTGAAGGTGTTCACGTTTCATCTGCAGATTTAAATGAAGCAATATTCAGTCTATATAAAAACAAGTGAACCACATCTTTGAAGAGCTGTGCAGCTCCACAAAGGCTATCGAGTGAGACAAAGCTTTAGGTTAGACGTCTGCAAGAAATGTACAAAAACAGAAAACGGGTTTAGCCTGATTTTACTCCTCATCTGTGAAGCAGATCTTGTCGTTGAGTGGCAAAAGAAATAATTTAACATGTTAGGAGCAAGGATTTCTATTGTTGACCTAATGTTGAGACGGTTTGACTTATCTTAAAACAATAAATAAATAAAATTAAACAACTGACTGTCTAAAGTTGGTAAAATTCCACATACCAGCAACTATTAAGACTGTAAAGAAAAGCATTGTGTTTATTTAGTGTACAGAGATTTATTTATTTTTTTAAATCTCAGAAAGTTTGTTTAAAAGACGTTAAGTAAAATTACCAATGCCTAAATTCCCACGTCTGTAATCACAGTTTAATGAGCTCCTCACTGCTTTCTTTGTGTCACAAGAGTTAAGGTGAAGTCTTGAAATCTCCAGGTAATGGGCACTAAAAGGTATGATTATACAGAGTTAATATATGCGGCTGCTTTACCTTTGTGAACCCTCAGCCTCAACATTTTATGCAGGTGACACAAGGTCTTTTCCAGCTTTTAAATGTAAAAAGATGTAATTTATGCACTAACAGAACAATAAGACAGTGGTTAAGCTTTTAAAGTCTTTCTCCACATTTTAGTATTATTTTTGTGCTGTGAGCATGAATACTTGCATCTGATAGTCATTCTAAACTATTTTTTCTTTCATTCAATAATGGGGATATGAGTTTTAAGCACATTTTTGTTATTTCGATATACAATATTACTGCGTTTCACTGACGCATTTCTTTTTCTGTCCGGGTTGAAGCGGACGCTTCAGTTTCAACCCGAACAGAAAAAGCTGCAACACAACTACATAAGTGCGTGGTGACGTACACTACAGCTCAAAGGAGTCAGCGGTAGCAGGATAGGCTAAAGCTCCAACGCGCTATGTTTTTGCTTCAAAATGAGTGCCCATGACCGTCAGAATGTGACTGAACAAGCTTTCACAAGTGAAGAAAAAGCAGATGACATAATTGGTAAGGGATGAAACACTAATTCAGCAGTGTGGAAGTGGTTCGGCTACCTTAAAATCCGATAAACTGCAGGTTTGTGCTGCAAAATGTGGCGGAGAGTCGTTCCAACTAGCCGTGGGAACACATCTCACTTGTTCCACGTTTCCATTCAATAGAAAGAGCTGACTTCACCACTTGCTCTCGCCGAGATCGGATGCTTCTCCCCTCCCTCTCCGCTTTGCTTTGCTGCTCTGTCTGCCTGTGAAACTGCTTCTGAGACTCTCTTGCATTTCTTCCAAACCATAATTATGGACTTGTTTTGATCAGTTGGTCTCTCAACTCCATTTACAACATTTCTTCGAAGAGAAGAAAGGCTTCAGGCGAGCCGATTTGCCCTGTTGACACACATGCAGCTGGATATCTCATCGACTGGAAGACTTGATGATGTGCAGCGTTTCCCCTAGTTAACTTGCCATGGCGGGGTGCTCATCTCATCCATGATTTTTGTTGATGGGGGGGACGGAGACATGTCTGAGCGCAGCTTGTACCAAGTCTTTGAGCGGGGGCGGGGGATGTTCAGCATGAGGGAAGAGGCGCCTTTAGCTTTTTAGCTAGAGAGTCTGTATTTTGCGCCGCTACCTTAGTGCTATGTCAGTGCCGGGTTGGGGGGTGGGGGCAAGTTCAGTTTGGTAGGCGGGGTGCTCAGTTCTGTTGACGGGGTGGGGCACCCCGCTTGTATAATGGTAGAGGAAACACTGATGTGTCTACCTCTGCTGCCATCTGTGGATTTTAAGGACGCATATTTAATTGGCTTTACGATAACTGGTTCCTGCTTTTTGGATTCGGCTGGTTTATCTATATTCAAGGAAGTCATTGGCAGCAAATTTGGACCCGATCACGCTACTTGCCTTTATGATGGCTTGGTTCGTGTATCGAGTATTCAGACTCAAATGCTTTGGGCTGAATGGATCAGATATTTGGGATTTTACTCAGTCACGTTCCATTGGTGTGGCCATGTAATATGAACATTTCGGAACCGAGTGGACCAACACAGACTCAAGGTAGATGTCATTAAGTTCTGCCTGTCCCCAAAACAACTGTGTGTTTATCTGAATTTGGCTCCCTTGGCTGGCCTTGAAGGCCATCTTATCTGAATTTGCCTGGAGAACATGTGATCCGACGCTCACCACCCCCTCCCTGAGGAATTTCCAACTGATAGCCAGATGAAACCAGCTGAATAAACTTGTGTCATCATTTCACATCATTAAAAACACACTTTTATTCCCTGGCTTTCAGCACTGTGTGATCTGTGCTGAGTCTGTGTGCATCACACTGTGTTGGTCATGTTGCAGTTGTTGTTGTTATCCATTACTGTTTTTGTTGGTTTCTACTAGGGTTGTTATAGATAAACCGATACGACCGGATATCCGGTTTGACAAGCTAGCGATATGGTTGTGTCGGTAGCAGCCGTATAAATCGACAGCAACCAGCCACAAATGCTGAGATGAACCGGTTGAAGAGACATGAACCGGGTATCGCGAGACTAGCTCGGTTGACAGTGCGTTTATAAAACAACGCGAGAGTCGGAAATGCCCGTGAAGCTATTCTCACGCATGCTCCGTAGCTCACCAAGACAACGAGAATGGATGTAAATAGTAGCAGCGTTAGCGGGTCACCGAGAAAGATTTTCAATACAGCGGAACGTTTTCGGGTTTTACAAGAAGGACGGAAAACTCGACAAAAACCACGCTATTTGTAAGCTATGCAGAGCACCTCTGAAGTACACTGGTAGCACAACAAACCTTGATCAACATGCAACGAGAAAACACAGAGAGGAGTATGGCAAACTTCTCAAGCCCCATAACAACGAGCAGGAGCAGGCAGCTGCCACACAGAGAGCGACGGGTAACGTTATCACTAAATTTTACGGGAAACTCGGCGACAGTTCATCACGAGCTAAGGATATAACGGCATCAATAACCCGTTTCATAGCTAAGGGCTTATGGCCGTACAATATAGTGGAGGGGGAAGGATTTCAGGATTTGATTCATACGTTAGAGCCCAGATATAAGATTCCGTCCCGGCAGCATTTCACAAACACATGCATGCCAGCGTTGTATGCCCAAGTGAAGAGCCAAGTTGAAAAAGAATTGGCACATGCAGAGCGAGTTGCTATTACAACCGATGCCTGGACGTCATGCTCCACTGAGTCTTATGTGACCATCACTGTCCACTACATCTCTCCAGACTGGAAGTTAAATGTGCATGTGTTGCAAACCAGGGCATTCAAAGGATCCCACACTGGGAAAAACATTGGTGCTCTGCTAAAACAGGCATGTGTTGACTGGAACCTTCTTGATAAAGATCCAGCCCTGGTGACAGACAATGCCACAAACATGGTATTAGCTGGAGTGGAAGCAGAGATGACCCCTCACCTCATGTGCTTTGCACACACTATTAATCTCGCCACACAGAAAGCCTTTAAAGTTGACACAGTAGCAAGGTTGCTGGGGAGAGTGAGGAAAGCCGTTGCCTTTTTTCATCGTAGTGTGAGGGCTGCAGAAATCCTTCAAGAGAAACAGAAACAACTAGCCTTGCCTTCCCACAAACTCATCCAAGATGTATCCACGCGGTGGAATAGCTCCCATGACATGCTTGAACGCTTTTTTGAGCAACATCCTGCGATTTCTGCAGCACTCATGTCCAGGGACCTCAGAAAAGAAGAAGAGGTGAATACTCTCAAGGACAAAGACTTCTGCGACATTGAAGACATTGTCAAACTGATGGCGCCGGTCAAACTTGTGACTACCAGCATGTCTGAAGACAAGCGACCCACACTCTCAATGATTCTTCCTGTAAAAGCAAAGCTTAAAAAGAACTTTGAACCATCAGATGAAGACTCAGTGTTAATCAGAGAGATGAAGCAGGCGTTCAAGAATGACTTGGAGAAACGCTACACAGGCCTTGAACATCTCTTCCACACTGCAGCAGCTCTGGACCCCCGTTTTAAGTCCCTGCCCTTCCTCAGTAACCATGATGCAGAGAGGACATTCACAAGCATATCAGCAGAAGCAGCATCCCTGCATCACAAGGTAAATCCCCCAACACACTGACAAAATACATATTACAGTACATTCAGTTACAGTCTGGTGTGTTTTGTTGCTGTCATTAGATATATTCTGACTACTGTTTATTTGATTCTTTACACTGCATTTAACCATACTGTACACTAAATGTTATTTCATGTTTTATTTCTAGGTAACGGGGGGTTCAGTTCAGAGAGGTCCAGTGCAGACTGATCCATGTCAGAGTGAACCTGCAAATGGAGATCCGGACGTCTGCATTGATGTACCCCAGACCCAAGATGAGCATAAAGGTTTGTGTGTTTTATAACTTGTGATCAAGAACGAGAAGACTTTGTCTTAAACTTGTGCTGCAGTCATAGTATCAGTATAAAACACATTCACTATAATAAGAGGATCTGCATGCAAAGAAAGAGTTAAATAATAATGATGATGATAATGATACATATTTTACATATGTACACGAGTCCTTACATAAATAAATTCTGAACATCAAATGAAGATTTATACATAAAATGGTAGTCAATTAAAAAACTTCATGGCAAACATAGCCAGTAATATATGGTACTTGTTTTCTATTTCAGATGATAAACCTCCTTGTAAAAAGAAGAGAATGTCAGCCCTGGACCAGCTGTTGGGAGAAGACTTTCAAGTAAGGACGGCATCTAGATCTGTGAGGGACCAGGCCAATGAAGAAGTCAAGAGGTACAGAGAGCGTGATCCTTTGCCCCTGAAAAAAAAACCACTACAGTGGTGGAAGGAGCAACAGGACTTGCCACTGCTGTCATCTATGGCTAAAATGTATCTGTGCATACCGGCCACCAGTGTGGCATCTGAGAGAGTTTTCAGCACTGCAGGAGATATTGTTTCCACAAAACGCAGTCTACTCAAACATGAGCATGTGGATCAGCTGATTTTCCTTAAGAAAAATCTGCCGCAAAAAAAAGATGAGGACAGTGATTATGACGAATAAAAATATAGGTAAACATACAAACATAAGGAAGTGAACTACTTCACTGTGTTTGAGTTCAGATTGAACCTGACGTGAATGTAGAAATGCAGGACATTACTTTTGTTCAGACTACCTCACCAGGTCAGAAAGCTGCAGTTTGATTTCTTTTATACATGTAATCGGCACTTTGACTGTTGATATGTGCTGCTGATTATCCATGCTGCTGATCTGATCTCATGCTGCTGTTTAAATGACATGATGTTATATTAATCTGTGCCCACCTGCTCACACAAACTCATGTTCGTGCTGCTGTTGTTAGGCGTACTGTTCTTGCATTATGTTTTTGTATTATTAAGTTCAAGTTCAAGTTGTGTTTATTTGTCATATGCAAGGTTAACACAATGAAATGTTCAGGATGAGAAGAACCGATTTGACTTGCTAAAAAACAAAAAACAAGCAAACAAGAAATACTAAAGCATGCAATAAGGGTACAAAATAAACTACCAAAAAGTGAAAAAGTAATTATAATATTTACAAAGTTTCTGAAGAGAAAAATGGTAAACAACATTGTAGAATTTTTACAGTGAAGCAGAATGAATTTGTGTGAATAAGTATTTCAAGGTAGTAATGTAATATAAGCTAAAATGCACATGATATATATTGCACATAACTACCAAACTACGCAGGGTATGTGACAGGTTATTGCACAGGTGCTTTGTGCTTACTGTAGCTTATTCCTATTTTTTTTTTTTTTTTATTACATGCTGCTGTAATCATTTGTGCATTTTATAATTTTTCTTTATTTTCTCATTTTATACTGATCCCATCAAACAAAGAAATATTCTTTTAGCTGGTCTTTTTAGGTCCATGTCTAAAAATAAACACATTTGACATGTGATTCTGTTGTTTGGCTTTTTACTTTATTTTTGCCAGTGCCTTACTGCACACTTTTAGATATGATATATGTAAACTTTTACAAATTTAAAAATAATGTAAGAATGTCACATTTATAGAAATGGCCCTTTTTGTTCATAATTAATATTTGTCTACATTCAACAAATGTTAAACTGTAGAATTATATAAAGTTGAATCGAATCGAACCGAATCGCTCTTCCACTGTATCGAATCGAATCAAATCGTTCTGTTTTTAAAATAAATCGTTTTTGAATCGAATCGTAACCTTTGTATCTAGATGCGAATCGAATCGTCTATCACACAGAGATGTACAACCCTAGTTTCTACGTTTTTGGTGTCCTGTTATGCAATCTGTTGCTACGTGCTTGTTCTGTTTGTCCCTGTACAGCACTTTGGTGTGCTTTGTCACTGTTTAAAGTGCTATATAAATAAATTGGTATGGTATGGTATTTCAGGACTCTTGGATTCTCATAGACATTATTCTTGGCCATTCCTCGACATCCCTCGAGAATGTTTATGGATCTCACCGGAGGACATTGACTGATTATTCCATCCTTATCAGAACTCTTACAGTGACCTCGAGAGCATCTATGAACATTGCTGACTGCTCTTGTCTCCCTCGTCTGCAGACTGTCTACGTAAATATGTGCTTGCTTGTGCGAGGTGTTTTTTTTTAGTATTAGAGGGTTTTTTTCTCAGGTAGGAAAAAAAAAAGTCTGATAGGAATTTTTTTTGCCTCCAACTCCTCCATGTGTCCAGTTAGCCACTGTTTTTGTCTGTCCAAACAGGTCTCACTTGTAAATGAGTCTTTGAGGCTCAATGTGATTTATCTGTTTAAATAAAGGTTGAATGAATGAGAGTCACAAGATGAAGCGCAACAAAAGTTTGAGCCAACGTGTCCCTGAAACAACACCCTCAGCTTTATCAAAAGAGAAACCCATTTATGTTGTTGTTTAAAGTTAAAACTATTAATACTGACAAAGTTGAGAGTTTTATGTTTGACAGTGATTTCAAATTTCTTTGAAGGCTAAATACAAATAAAGGATGAACATTAATTTATTTGTACAGTTTTTCTGAGTACTTTCAAGAACTTGGGCTCCACTGTCCAGGAAAATGAGGAATGTGGTAAAAAAGTGAAAGAGAGAGTCCAGGCAGGATGGAGTGGATGGAGAAAAATTTCAGCGGTGATTTGTGATAAAAAGGTGTCAGCAAAGGTCAAAGGAAAAGTGTACATGACGGTGGTGAGACCAGCTATACTGCATGCACTGGAGACAGTGGCACTGACAAAAAGACAGGAGAAAGAACTGGAAGTGGCAGAAAAGAAGATGTTGAGGTTCTACTTTGGAGTGACAAGGATTGATAAGATTAGGAGTGAGATCATCAGACTTACAGCACATGTTGAACAACTGGGAGATAAAATTAGGGAGGCCAGACTGAGATGGTTTGGACATGTCAAGAGGAGGGACAGTGGGTATATCGGTAGAAGAATGTTAGAAATGCAGCTGCCAAGAAAAAGACAAAAAGGAGATATATGGATGTAGTTAGAGAGGACATGATGGTAGTTGAAGTGAGGACAGAGGACAGAGTGAGGTGGAGGAGGATGACTCGCTGTGATGACCCCTGAAGAGCGAAAAGCCGAAAGCAGAAGAATAAGTACAGTTTTTCTGAGGCTTTTATATTGTTTATGTCGTTATCAACCGAAATTAAGATATATATCATGATAAAAGGTTTGGCCATATTGTGCGGCCCTAACGAGGACTAATTTTCAAGACAGACCTGTTTTAGACAGATAACATATCAAGTACAGACAACAATTAATCAAAACGCAATCAAATAAAAGTTATAAACATAGTCAAACCAAGATGCCAAATAAAACAAGGTTAAATACTAAAAACAAGAACATATTTACTTTGATATTTCTATCGGCATTATAAAATGTTTAAAATCCCTTGAAGAAATCAAAATTGGCAGCTTCAGATCTTTTTGCAAGATGTTCCAGGTTACAGGAACAAAGTAAGAAAAGGCCTTTTTGCCAAGTTAAGTCTGCACTGAGGGAACGCTGCAGATAATGAATCTATGAGAGTGCACGCTGTAACTGCACTAATGACATGAGAGGAGGAGATATAAGAAGGAAGCAGACCAAGGAGTGATTTATAGATAAAGATGAACAAGTGTGAGAGCCTACGTGTAGATAATGATGACAAACTGACCAATGAATACAGGGTGCAGTGATGGGTACGGTAGTTACAACCAGTTATGGACCTTAGCGCCCCATAGTAGATGGCATCCAATATCTGCAAGGAGCTGGCAAGGGCATTCATACAGTTCCTCCTACATGTCTCTGCATGAGTGCAGCTACAGCGTGCGCTCCCAGGACATTATTGCATGCAGTGTTCCCCTCAGTGCAGACTCACTGAACTAGGCCAAACGACCTTCTCCTGCTCCGCTCTGTTTCCTGGAATATCTTGCAAAAAGATCTGAAGCTCTTGACCTTGATCTCTCTAAGTGGCTGTTAAACATCTGTTAAGTTCCTGGCAAAAACCAATGCAGACATGTTCCTGTTTTTAAGTTTTCTACATCGCCTTATAATCTAGCTGTTTTTGCTTTTTTTTTTTTGCCATCGTTTTATTTTGTAAAAAAAAAAAAATGGTATGTCTCTTTTATGATTGTCTATTGTTGTCATTGTTATCCACTGCTGTCATCACTCTGTTAAAATCAGGTCTCTCTTGTAAATGAGTCCTCGAGGCTCAGTGGGATTAACCTGTCTAAATAAAGGTTGAATGAATTTGGGCAAATGATGTCATCATAATCAATGTCTGGTAGGAAAGTAGCAGCTATAAGGAGTTTCCTGGCATTCAGAGTTAATCAAGGTCTATTTCTGAAAAAGAAACCTAGTTTCAATTTCAGTTTCTTTATCAAGCTTTCAACATGTGGTTTAAAAGAGAGATGTGCATCACTTAAAATTCATAAGCATTTGTAAGAATCCAAAATTAAATAGGAACACTAAAAATGGATGAGATACGGGAAAGAGCTGCTGACACCAGCTTTCGGTTTGAAAACAACATCCCATTGGTTTTATCAGCATTTAGCACCAGTTTGAGATGGAACAAGTCAAACTAAATTATGTCAAATACAGACCATAGGACCTGAAAAACCTTGACAACTGTGTTAGCTCAGCAAAATAAACCAACTCTATCATCAGCAAAGAAATGCAAGGAGGCATCAGGTATGTTTTGACCTACATTAATTATGTAAATTGTAAAAAGAGTGGGTCCTGAAACTAAGCCTTGTGGCACACCATTAGTGACCGTTAAATAGCTATACGAAGTACCGCTGTGTCGAACACATTGCCTCTGACTTGAGAGATAGAAAACCAACCAGCAGTGTGATCTGAGAAACCACTATCTGAGAGCTTATGACATAAGATGATGTCATGATCTACAGTATCAAAGGCTTTGGACACACACAGACACACAGTATACATATATACACACAGAGTATACATTTACTTTTATTTAAATGTAAACAACGTTTAGCCTATACTGAACATTAAATATGGAGTGAAAACTACTCATTTTTGTCTGGATGTTTGTGAAAAGATTTGACATGACTGAGGGACATGAAGTTTCTTTGTCTCCCAAAAAATACAAAAAAAAAAAAAAAAAAAAAAAATGCATTTGATGAAGATGGGCTGTTCCATGGCAAATGATGGAAGAGAAATATAGAGTTCCAATCTGAGCAAATGAAGTGAGAAATAATGAAAACTGAAATGCATTTCAAATCACTGCATGTGTAAAAATATCAGGAGAAAATGAAACCCAAAGCAGGATGAAAACATCCAAATTTATCCTGCCTGCAAGGGTGTGAAATACCTACAACTCAGAGGCTCTTCTTTCTGAATTGAAGCATAAACAAATAAATGTATGAACTACACATGCAAATGAGTAAAATGTGATTTGGGAATATTTGAGATTGGATTTTTGTCAGTCCAACGGAATGGCTTTCTTGTGCTGGAACATATTATGTTCTTTCAATAACAACCCACTGGAAGATACTTACAACACACTGTTACGCGTTTATAATGTTACTATTTAGGAAAATGAAAA